ACCTTATATGTAAAAGAAATATTTAATTATGTAATTTGGGATTTCCATTTACAAGCTATGCTTCAGGAATTTCCCATTTTCTTTGATCTTTAAAAATGTTGTACATTTATATTTTTCGTAAATTTTTATGCTCAAAGGAAATAAATATTTTTGTCATTGTCATTGTCATTGTCAAATTGACACCACAATTAACTCTCTATCACCAGTGGTTGGGTAGATATAAGGACCATATGGCTAGTATTAATAATAGCCTCATCCGCCGATGGAGTATTAATAACAAACTAAAACAAAAATGCAAGGTTACCTGTTTACACTATGACGATAACGATCGGGGGGGGGGGGCGATCGGGGGGGGGGGGGGCGAATGTGGGGCCGATCGAGACAAAACTACCATAGGGAGTCCGGTGCATCCCCCGCGAAATGTTTTTAACTAGATGCACGAAAATAACCTCTGAAGCGTTTTGGGCGATCCTGTGATCAGCGATAAAAAGCAATTGCAAATACCGGTATAAAATAAATAGAGGTTTTCACACTACCACGGTTAAATGAAATCAAATGACGTCATGATCATGTGAAAACGATAAAATCGTAGTAGTAAAAACGATTGTATCATTTCCCCAAAATTATGACATCATTTGATTTGATTCGTGAAATTATTTTTTGTCGTGTACACGATAAATCGTTGTCGAATCGTGCTAGTGTGAACATTTCTCTTATTTTCTAGCTAGGCCATGAACAATTGCTTTTATCGTTGACCGTATCGTCATAGTGTCATATGCAGGTTTATCTTGGTACTCCTCCCCCGGTTTTTGAAATTCGAAGCCATCATATAGACATTGTTAACCATGTTAAGTTACTGGTAGGGATGGTGCAGACCCCCCCCCCCCATTCCCCGGGAGAAAAACAATTACATGCAGGCCTCAGTTTTTTGCGTAGTGCCTATTAGTAGACTCTATCTATCTATGAAATCGTTTAAATAGGCCTAAGCCAAAATCGTTCAACATCTCCTCCACCCTTTGGAAAGTAAAAAAAAAAAAGGAATAAAAAGATATTATATAGGTCTAGGCCTATTAGGCCTAGGCCTTATCTCCCGAAACGCCTCAGGTTATTTCCGGCGTCTAGAAAACTAACATTTTTCGGGGGTATGCGGACCCCCTAGCGGTGGGAGTAGGCAGGGGATTAATCCCCCATCGGTCTGGTCAAGACACACCCCCACCATCGGCCAAAGCTCGTCGTGCAGTCGGACCAAAAAAAAAAATAGGCTTATTTTTCCCATCCCGCCATCTAGAAGTCCCAATTTTAAAAGAAAATCTCGTTTTGGGAGGAGGGAACACCCCTCCCATACCCGGCCCTCAGATATGCCTAACGCTGCACGTTATAGTTATGTCTCTTATACACATCTAGATGTGTTATAAATTATATTCTAGAGCCGCCACTTCCCCCCACCCCCGGACATCTGAGGATTCGCCCTAATTACGTGGGTAGCAACAAATTAGTTTATTCAACCTTTTAGCAACAACTTGTGTAATGTCTTCTATTCGGTTAGTTGTTGGCGCGCAGTTTTTATTTCCGCTTTTTAATTGGCTTTGCATTTATCTGTCGAGAGTCGAGTTTAAATCGAGACAGGAAATTGCTCGAGTACTTAATCGCTCGAGACTCGTTTTATCTGCCACAAAACAAGTTTTATACGTTTCCAGGCTTGCTTTACCCCATTTTTCTTCATGCATAATGGAGACAGGTAGGTTGATTATCAAGAATAATGTTA